TTCAAAAAAGAAAATATAAATACAAATTCGAATCAGAATAAAGTAAAAAAAATAAATATATATATATATATACTCTTTTTTTTTGTGGTCTTTTTTTTTTTTTTTCGTTTTTTTTTTTTTTTTTTTTTTAGGACTTTTACTTTAGGTTCCCTTTACAAATATAAGATTATTTTAATAATTCAGAAATATAAACAAATAAACTTAATTTGATTTTTTAAACTTTTTTTTTCTGTTTGATTACTTTATGCAGCATTTAAATATCGTTAATATTTTTTTTTAGATTCCTCTTTCATGTTGGATTCTGAATATCTTCGGACACTTCGGATAATAAAATAACTCTTTAAATAATCATATCATTTAATTTAAATATTCTAATTTCCTAATATTTCTGTGGCCATTTGGGACAATTTGAGGTGGTCATAATTTGGGATGGTCTGAAGTGTTCAATTTGAATATTCGATAATCGTCTGATTTTCATTAATTTACTGTGATTAAATTACCCTTAAAAATTCCTGATTACATATTAAATTGTATGAAAACACGAAATCAGGCAATAATACCGCCTAACGACTGGTTTATGTTTAGCAGATATCCAAATTTATTGTTAAAATTACTAGAATAGTAATTCGAATAAACGATTGTTCTCGTAAAACGATTTCGCCTTACGGGAAAGAATATAATCCAAGAAGATGGCTTTTTTTTTCTTGTAAAAATGTTTGTTCGTAATTCTTCACCACCAAGCCTGAAAATATCGAAACAATGTGTGATTACAAATCGTGTATTGATCTAATAGGATCGTTTTAAATTATATTAGCGAACTTGATAATATTTAATGGTGATACTTTTCTTTCCAATTAGCTACCAATTCACTATACCTTTTATTTTATTTTTAGTTTTTTATGTATATTTCGCGAGAGTCATCCATTTTAAATTTTTCGTGTAATTTCGCCTATTCCTAAATGATTAATTTTCAATCTAATCTATGAAGTTACGTCTAAGCTATAATATTAATTTTTAATTTTTAATAACCAAATCGATTAAAAGATGCCCGCATCTTGAAAATTTCTAAGCCGTGCTTTTTTAGCCCTTGATCAATTTAAGAAAATAGTGAAGGAATTAAATAATTTAAATAAGAACATTTGCTAATTTTTTTAATTAAAAATATATCGGTAATAAGACCATTAATCAATTTAATAATTTATGGAGGCTCAGGTTTTTTTTTTTTAAATTTGATCGATAAAAAATAAGAAAAGCCACGTCAGAGTAAGAAGACGTGAATGATATGCAAAAATAATTTTTTAAAAAAAAGGGCCAAAGAATCGAGAGAGACGATAAAAAAAAAAAAATAATCTATATAAATGAGCTGTTTTTTTTTCTTTTCATCCTTTTTTTTTAATGACGAAACTAAAACAAAAATGTAATCTATTACTTTTGCTTTGATTATAGCGATCTTCATAACCTTTTACTCCTTTACCACAAAGGGAATGGCGAACCCAAATCCGTTAATATTGAAGGACCAGGTCCAGTACCTTTGACTATTTGTTCTAAACAAACCGTTACTTGGACGACTACAGGATTTTCTGCTGATGGTTAATAAAAAAAAATTCTGCTTTTCTAAAAATATTATAAATGATAATATATTCTTACTGTTAGACATTCTCTTTTTTAGAACCAATAACTTACGCTATTCTCGCAGAACATAATCCTACCCCACCCTTTATTGCTGATGCATGTTATGCAATTAATTTTCGTACAATTTAATTTTTTTATTTTTTTTAAAAAAAAAATAAAAAATTTAATTCTTTATAACAAATTTAGTCCACACTTTTTGTTTCATTCACAATCGATGACAAATTTACTCATGGAACTAAATATGGAAGTTTTATCGCTCTTAAGTCTGAACCAACGATTCCTTTTCGTGGTCCAACTTTCGAAGTAACTGATGGTGGTAATACTATAGTGGTAAAACCGGAATCAACTACACCAAGTGCGAAAGCAGTTATACATGATGTACGAAAAAGAAGTTCCTCCCATGGTAATACTATGGTGGTAAAACCGGAATCAACTACACCAAGATCGAAAGCAGTTATACATGAACTAAAAAGAAGTTAATTCTATGGTGATGAAGGAATCAAGTGAAATCAGTTGTACTAGTGTTTCGGGCGAAACTAGTTTCGCCAATTTGATCTGCAAAAATCTTTCCAAATTTAGGGTTTCGGAGGTTTCGGATAGTTTCGGATCATAGAAAAATTCTCTGGGCGAAACGTTTCGGATGTTGAAAAATAGTTTCGCCTGAAACACTAAGTTGTACAAAAAAGAAGCTCCTCCGATAGTAATACTATGGTGGTAAAACCGGAATCAACTAAACCAAGTGCGAAAGCAGGTGTACATGAATTACCATAAAGAAAAAGCTCCTCCAAAGAAAATTTTTAATTAAATATTTTGATTTTTCGTAGTTATAAAGGTTAGGTTATTATTTAATTAGCAGAATCAAATGACTTTCTCTTTGATTTTAAAATAAAAAAATTATAAAACTTTCTAAACATTTGTGACAATCAAACGTAAAAGCCCTTAATAACTATAAAGCCACGCCCTTATCCTATTTTGCATTGTCGGTGTCGGGATTTTATAGTAACCTAAACTCGTGCAAAAATTTTTAAAAAATGTTTTTTGAGATTTATCGTACTAAACGACATAATTATTATCGAAGTTATAGCGTGACACGTCGAGTAAATTACGTGAAATTATTAACGTTTGCCTGAATACGTTTCGAGAATATAAAAAGTAATATCAGATAAATAAATGTATTTATTTGATATATATAACTTGATAAAAAAACATGACATGTCATGTTGTTCCTTGACTAAATATTCAACAAAGAAACTCTATCCGACTCACCTATAATCACGTGTTGAAATTCACAAATCCAATATTCTGTTCTGTTTACAATATTCAAACATACTGTATGAGTGATTTATATCGCTCAAGCATTTTCGAGGTCATTATGAAGATTCTCATTTTAATATTGTTATCGGCATTGTATAATATCGTATTTTCTGCTCATTCAACGGAGAGATTCACCTCGATCATTGTGTTTAAATTTGAAGCCTAATTCGCTAAAAATTTTTGATTTGAAAAGTTTAAATAAATTGTAATACTTACATTTTTTTTTAAATAAAGAAATAAACAATGTTTGACTTCTAAAAAAAAGAGAAGAATCAATTAGCTATTTAAAGCTTTCATCTTGAAAATTGTATTTCTACGTCAAATGACGCTATAATCACGCGAGGTTGATAATTAAAAAAATATTTTTACTACTAACTATACTCAACCAAACTTTAGGTAAATGAAATTGTTGGAACAGATTTAAATGAACTTAAATGTAATTCTTTGAAATGTTAGCATATGAGAGAGAATTTTAACTAGGAATAAGGATGAATTAGAAAGTGCCTTATTGGCTAATTAGTAATCAACCAAAAATTAAAAGAATATCCAAAGTTAAATAATTAAAGTTGCGGGGCAAAACCTACACTAAAGGTTGGAACTGGGTTTATTTTTATATCCAGATTTCTTTAATTTTAAAAATCGGATCCGGATTTAAATCCGAATATCGAATCTTCATTTCAAAAACTGTGCAGATCAAATAAATTTTTTTTTAAAGCTTAATATTATACACCCTGCGGATATCTGGGTTTAAATCAGAATGTCGAATCCGGTTCCAACCTCTAGATGATGATTTTTCAAATGAAAGTTTAATGGATGAAGTAGAAGAAAATAGAATACTGTCATGAGTTTAAATAAAGAAAATTTGGGAGATAAATGATATAACTGGACTTGATTTTTTTTTATCCTTTATAAACATATAAATATATGATATTATAAAAGAAAGTGATCTTTGCTATATACGATTTGCTCATCTCGTTAAACGAAAATAATAAATCCAAAAATTCAAAAGTTTTTATTTTAGCATCAGAAGGTTTCGATGGGTTTTTCCATCCGTCAAAACTTTTGCCATCCGTTAAAACTTTAGCAATTTGCCTTTAATAAAAACATTTGGCAAAACGTTTTGATGGGGATCGATTTCAATGCCTGTCGAAACCTCCGGGTTTTGCCCAGGCAGACTTATAAATGATGCTATTAAATACTTCCAATCACGGAATAAATAGACTTTAAACTTAACAAAACGGACAGTTAAAAAGCAATTACAAAGCATTGGATGTCACAAGTGATTTAAAGCACAATAATATTTGTTTGAGCATGACAAATAAACTTATTATTATGATTTTTCATTCATTTTTTTTTTTTTTTTTTTTTACTTGAGTGCATAAGCAATAACAAAAGGGTATCAATTTTTATTTTAGGTGAAAGTTTGAGAATTTTAACTTAATGAAACTACTATAACCGTTGGAGCGTCCGAAGCGTAATTCAATTTATAAGATTTATAAGTAATGAGCAGATAGACCAAAAACTTAAATATTTCACAATTAAGTGATACAATAAATAAATAAAAAATATAGTAAAATGTAACACTAAAATTTAATTGTGTTTTTGAGCCACCAAAACGAAAAAAAAAATTTATTCAATTTTGAAAAATCATAGATCTTAACCGTGATTCTTCTGCCATTCTCTCTTGCAGTCTCTTGCAAGGCAAGTTTTGATACATTAAAGTTTCTCAAAAGAAAATAGTTTAAAAAGTATATTTTTGAGATCACAAACCCACGAGATTGCTACAAAAGAAAGTCTGGCAGTAAACTCTTTTTATCCAAGATCTATCACAGCCTTTTGCATTGCTAATCCTTAGCTCTTATACATATATAGTTATGACTCACACAAGACAAATAGGACTTGCAAGTAAGAGCAAGTTCCTTATTTCCTCTTAGCTCTGTCTAATTGGTAAAATCAGAACTAGCTTTTTACCTTTAGCAGTAATATAACCAGATCAGAATAGTTGTCAAATTCTATCAGGATGGCAATAAAAAGTGAAAAAGGAACTGGATTTTTTCAAATTCTATTTTAATTAAGATAACTAATAGGTTACCAAATGTCTGATTTTGCTTCTGAGAGAAAGCTTATCATAGTCTTATATCAATTAAAGCATATAATTGTCTACTAAAATAGAAAAAAATTGAAAAAATAAAACAATTAGAAAGGAATAAAAAATTTTAAAAAATAAAAATAAAAATAAAAGAATTATAAAAAGAAAAAAACACAAAAGAAGAAAATAAAAAATAATAAAAAAGTAAAAAGAAAAAAAAAGAAAAGGAAAGAGAATTAAAATAAAAATAAAAAAAAATAAAATAAATGAAAAGGAGAAAAAAAAATTAAAAAATAAAATAATTAAAGTAGGAATAAAAAAAATAAAAAATAAAAAAAGGGAAGGAGAAAAAAGAAGGGAAAAATAATAGAAAAAAGTAAAAAAATAAAACAATCAGAAGAAAGGGATAATAAAAAAATTTAAAAAATTAAAAAAATAAAATTTGTTATGATGCTTTACATTAACTTGCTTTTAAATTCATCATTTGATTTATATATAATATTAGTAATAATATTATAAAAATAACTGTATTAATTTATAATCATTAATGATTTTTATAAAAAGAGTGATCACTATTATCACTAATTTCACTAATATCAGGGTGAGATAAGAGGGTCTATATTATTCAAATTTAAATCAATCATAAGATGCTTATATATTAGAAGGTCTCTCTTTAAATAATCTTTAATTTTGTGATCAGATAATTTGCATTTTCTACAATATTTTTCAGCTGGATAATTATTATTATTATTTTTATAATTATATTATTATCTTAGTTATCTTTTTATTATACTTATATTTTATATAAATATTATATATCCTTAACAAAAAATCAAATTTTATTTTTATAATTATTAATAAAAATATAATTTTAAAAATATAAAAACTTATATTTTTATTATTCTCAATTTCTTTAGAATATAAATAATCAATAAAGATAATTTGAGCTTTTAACTTAATTAATTTATATTTTTAATATTTAAAATTCAATATGTAAAATGTACATGTACATAAAATTTTAAAATTTTATATATATAAATATATAATTTTTTATATTTAATATAATGTCATATATTGATATTATCAAAAAATAATATATATATTATTTTTTTGTATATAATTTTATTTTGAATTTTAAAAAATAATATTTCTTTCATATTTAATAAATTTAAACCTTTTGTTAACAAATAAGAATTTATTAATCTAATAACATAGTATTTAAGCTAATAAAGATATATATATATATATATATAGATTATATAATATTACTAGTATTAACATTAATATTAAAAAATTTAGAAATTAGTTATATTGTTAACGTATAATCCTTGTGAATTATGACAGTTAGATAGGGTATTTGAGTGGTGATTCTTTTTAGTTTACGTGGTGACTCAATTTAGTTTAAATCAAGTTTATAATTTATATAGTAGTGTACTTTTGATAAGATTAAAAATAAAATAGCTTGATTAATTCAGAAGTGTAATAATATATTTATTGATGATAAATAACAAAAATAAGAAATAATAATAATAATATATAAAATAAGAAAATAAGAAAGAATAAGAGAAATCAAAAGAGTTAAAGTATTAATTGAAATATTAGGCCAGGTGCTTCTACAAGAACTACTAGATATGTATCTAAAAGTAAAATTTAAAGGAAAACTAAAAGTGGACTTAAAGCAAACTTAAGTTTACATGATTCTATTGCTTTCTATTTATATTAAATTAATACATAGACAGATATAACAAATAAATCAAATATATCTAATATGTCTGATATATCAAAGATATCAATTATATCAAATATATCTAGTATATCAAATATATCAAATATGTCCAATATGTCTGACATTTAGATCTGTAACATTTTGTGTCACGTTCATCAATCCAATTCTATTATAATATAATAAATAAAGTATGAAAAATAAGATTGTTAAATAAAATCTAAAGGTTTTATAAGTTATTTAAATGAAAAAAAAATAAATTTTAGTAAAATTATATTAAAATCTTATTAAAAAATCTGTGAAATGCTAAAAAAGATAAAATTATATCAAATTTTATAAAAATGTGAAATTATATTAAGACCTTAGTAATAATTAACAAAATTTAAATTTAAACATTTTATAAATCTAAATGAGTTTAGACAAATAATCTTAATAACAAATAATAATTTTTTACCAAATTTTTTTAGTTTTTAAAATAAATAATAAAAATTAAAAATAAAAGGATGTAATACTAGCAATAATATATTTATTATATGATCTAAATATATATATCCTATATAAATTTAGAAATTTTCTTATAAATTTTATATATAATTTAATTTATGAAAAAATGTATTTATAATAATATGTTACATATCTTATTTGTAATATCTTTTTTATTTTTCTTAATAATAAATAATTTTTAATAATTTATAAATAATACTTTTATATACAAAATTTAATTTAAAAAACTTTTATTTAATATATTAAAAAAAGCTTTATAGATAAAATTTTCAGTTATAAACAATTTCTTGAAATTTTTAAAAAAAAATTTTTTTTGCTAAATTATTCATTTTAAACTTAATTTTAAATTTTGAATGAATAAAATTAAGATTATTATAAATAAAATGTATAACATATTATTATAATTAGATTTATTCTTAATTTATATTATTAACTATTATAAAATTAAGATAAATTATATTTAAATAAATTTAAAAAAATTATATTAAATAAATTAATAAATAAATATTTATATAAAATTATATTAAATAAAAAAATAAATTAAAAAAATTAAATCTTAAATAAAGAATAAAAATAAATAAATTTAATAATTATAATAAGTAATAATACTATTTAAGTTATTAAATTATATAGTAAAACTTATAACTAAAGTTATTTATTTAAATTTAAATTTATTTTAAAAATAATAATCTTTTATTTTATTAAGTTTTTACTAAATTTATAATATAATTTTTTATTTAATGATTTTCATTATAATTTTATTTTTTTCTCTATTTAATAGATTTTTAATAAAATTTTTAATAAAATTTTATTAAATTTTATCTTTCA